TTGGTTGGTAAATAGCCACTGCTCTGAGCAATTCTGAGTGACTGCTGTGCTTTGACTGTTTCAGCCACTCTCTCTAAGATGAGCAACTAAAGGAAGGTATTGCCATTATGATTAGGGGGCTCTAGGACTCTGCTGTTGCAATCTGGCTGGCCATCTTCCTGATTAGTTACTGTATATGCTTTACTGGTCGTTAAATATTTTAAATATCCTTTCCCTGTTTGAGTATCACAAAATAAGAACTGTTAGGGGAAAGTTGCAGACTTTAGGGTGCCCTAGGGCTCCCGGGATGCTTGTTTCTTTATGTAATAATGGGGAAGATAATTCTCTAGGATTATTTTCCTAATGGAAAATCCTCCTTTTTTTTTTTTTTTCGCTTTTCTCTTAATGAATAACTTATATAGCAAAATGCACAGATCTGATGTGTACAGCTTATTAAAATGTTACATATGTACTTACATACCCAGTAACCAGATCAAGATATAGAGCATTTCCATCTTCCTAGCAGACTCCCTCATGCCTTCTCTTTGTCAGTTACCCACCAAGTAACCATAATTCTGACATTTATCATTATAAATTAATTTTGCCTGTTTTAAAACTTCATATTAGTAGGAGCACAGTGTATACTCTTGACGTCTGGCTTCTTTTGCTCAACATTAAAAACATGCCTCTTTTGCAATTTATTTGACTAGTTTTCCAATTTGTTAAGTTGGATTCTTAGCTCATTAATTTTCAAACTTCCTTCTTTTCTTGGGTATTTTTTACAACTTAAAAAATTGTGTCAAAATATATGTAACATGAAATTTGTAACTTTAACCATTTTTTAAAGTTTATAATTTGGTGGCATTAATTATATTTACAATATTATGCAATCATTATTACTATTTCAAAATTTTTTCATTATCCCCCCAAAAACCTCTGTATCCATTAAGCACGAACTCCTCATTTCTTCCTTCTCCCAGTCCCTAATAATCTCTAATTTACTTTCTATTTCAATGAGTTTGCCTATTCCAGATATTTCATATAATGGAGTTATACAGTATTTGTCCTTTTGCATTTGACTTCTTTCACTGAGCATGTTTTCAGAGTTCATCCATGTTAAAATGTATCAAAATTTCATTCATTTTATGAATAATTTTCCATGTATATATATATATCACATTTTGTTTATTCATTCATCTGTTGATGGAAACTTAGGTTCTTTTCACTTTTTTGTTACTGTGAATAATGCTGTCATAAACATTGATGTACATGTATCTGAGTTCCTGTTGTTGAGGCTTTTAGGTATATACCTAAGAGCGGAGTTGATGGATCACATGGTAAACCTATGCGTAGCTTTTTGAAGACTGCCAAACTGTTTTCCACAGTGATTGTACCATTTCATATTCCCACCAGCAATGCGTGAGGGTTCTAATTTCTCCACATCCTCACCAACACTTGTTATTTTCTATTTGTTTGTTGTTTCTTATTATTATAACCATCCTAATTGGTGTGAAGTAATATCTCATTGTGGTTTCGATTGTATTTCCTTAATGACTAATGATGTTGAACATCTTTTAATGTACTTTTTGGCCATTTGTATATCTTCTTTAAATATTTTGTCTATTTTTAAACTTTTTTTTTGTCGTTGAGTGGTGGGAGATTTTAAATATATTATGGATATTAAACTCTTATCAGGTATATAATGTGCAAACATTTTCTCTCCTTCTGTGGGTAATCTTTTCACTCTTTTGATTGTGTTCTTCAATATACGGAAGTTTTTTATTCTAATGAAGTCCAATTTATCTATTTTTGTTGTTGTTGCTTCAGCTTTTGGTATCATTTTGAGAAACCATTGCCAAATTCAAAATTGTACATATTTGCCCCTATGTTTTCTTCTAAGAATTTTGTAGTTTTAGGTCTTAAATTTACATTTTTAATCTGTTTTGAGTTGATTTTTGTATATAGTATAAAGTAAAGGCCCAATTTCATTACTTTGCATGTAGGTAGGATTTCTCCAAGACTAAGGGTAGGGATCTTATCCATCTTGTTCCTAGTACTGTGTCTGGCACACATTATATACTCCTTCAATAACTATTGATTTGTTATGTAGCATGCTAGGCACTGGAGATCCAATGGAGAATAAAACAGACTTGATCCTCATCACCTTTGTACTTCGTTTCTAGTGTTTGTTGAATAAATAAATAAGAAACCACCTATTTTCATGACATCTGCATCATCAAAAGTTGATAATTGCTTCATATGGTAATTTTGTGTCCATACATTCCATATCATAATTGTAGTCATTAGAGAATCTCCCAGTCTCTCTCTCTTTCTCTCTCTTTCTCAACTCAAAGGTGAAATGTATCAAGTGAGTATCAAGTGAGTATATGTTATTTAAGAATGAAGTTGGTGATGTTCCAGGTGTTTATTTCTAGACTTTTTGTCAGGTAAGGTGGCCATTTCATTTCCAAAAGGATTACTCATATATATATATATATATATATATATACACACACACACACACACACACACACATATGGTTTTCAAACACTATTACTACATCTTTCCCACTCAAGGACTAATTATTCTCTCTGTAGCATTTTACTATATGGTCAGCAATACTTAGTTCACGGTGCTCTCCAGAAAAACAAGAATTTGAATAACAAAAACAATAGAATTTAGCCAACATGGCGAAACCGTGTCTCTCTTAAAAATACAAAAATTAGCTGGGCGTGGTGGTGCATGCCTGTAATCCTAGCAACTCAAGAGGCTGACACAGGAGGATTACTTGAATCCAGGAGGCTGCAGTGAGCTGAAATTGCACCACTGCACACAGCCTGGGCAACAGAGACTCCGTCTCAGAAAACAAAACAAAACAAAAAACCAATAGAACTTTAAGCTGAGAAATTAGAAAGCAGTCCTGAATTGGTAGAAACACTAGGCATCTGGAAGAATTGTTTATTTATTTAAGAGTGATAACTTACCAACATATTACTTTGCTAAATATTTTTAAAAGAAATTATTGAAACTGTAGAAAATATATAGAAAGCCACCTTAGGAAACTCTATTTCTTGCTTGCTGATATACAAATTGTAGCCAGCTTTTTCTTCTTTTTGTCACAACCTTTGGAGATTCAGGTAAAATGCTTCCTTCAGAAGGTTTCTGGGCATCCTTTATTTGTTTATTTTTTTGGTTACATGAATAAGTTCCTCAGTGGCAATTTCTGAATTTTGGTAAAGCCATCACCAGACCAGTGTACACCGTATCCAATGTGTAGTCTTTTATCTCTCATCCCCTCCCATCCTTCCCCTCAAGTTCCCAAAGTATCATTCTTATGCCTTCGCATCCTCATAGCTTAGCTTCTACTTAAGAGTGAGAATGTACAATGTTTGGTTTTCCATTCCTTAGCTACTTCAATTAGAATGGTCTCCAGTTCCATCTAGGTTGCTACCAATGCCATTATTTCATTCCTTTTTATGGCTGAGTGGTATTCCATCCTGTATATACCAAAATTCTTTATCCACTCATTGATTGATGGGCATTTGGGCTGGTTCCACATTTTTGCAATTGTAAATTGTGCTGCTACAAACGTGTGTGTAAGTATCTTTTTTACATAATGACTTCTCTTCCTCTGGGTAGATACCCAGTAGTGGAATTGCTACATCAAATGGTAGATCTACTTTTAGTTCTTTAAGGAATCTCCACACTGTTTTCCATAGCGGTTGTACTAGTTACATTCCCATCAGCAGTGTAAAAGTGTTCTTTTCACCACATCCACACTGACATCTATTATTTTTTGATTTTTTGAATATGGCCATTTTTGTTGAAGTAAGATGGTATTACACTGTGGCTTTGATTTGCATTTCCCTAATAATTAGTGATGTCTAGCCTTTTTTCATATGTTTTTTGGCCATTTTCACATCTTCTTTTGAGAATTTTCTGTTCATGTCCTTAGTCCACTTGTTAATGGGATTGCTTGTTCTTTTCTTGCTGGCGTGTTTGAGTCCCTTGAAGATTCTGGATATTAGTCCTTTGTTGGATATATAGATTGTGAAGATTTTCTCCCACTCTGTGGTTGTCTGTTTACTCTGCTGATTATTTCTTTTGCTGTGCAGAAGCTTTTTAGTTTAATCAAGCATCTGGACAAATTGTTACAAATCATTCCTGCAGGACTCCATTCAGCCTAGACAACCACACCTTTGACCCAGCTCTCACAGAAGTTCTCCAGAAATCCTACCGCCTCAAAGCAGTAAGTTTGCATCAGCAATCAGGTAAATATCAAAGATAATAAAAATAGCTAATTGGGCTACTTATAATGATTACCTACACAGCTTTCTCCATTAACTAACTTTTACAACAGCTCTGTGAAGTAGGCAGGACAAATATTACTATCCCCAGTTCACAGCTGGAATACTACTGCTCTGCATAATAATAATTCTTGAAGCATTCTTAAATGCTGGCACTGTGTTAATTTCTTTATATTCATCGAATGCCCCCAATAACCCTATAGGTAGATACTATTATTTTCCCCATTTTCAGGCTAGGTAATTAATTAATGAAGCTTAAAAATGTAAGTACTCTGCCCCCAGGAGTGCATAATTATTAAGTAGCAGAACCAATGCTTATATTTAAATCAGAAACACTCAGAAGTAGCAAATGACTTTAGTAAAACCGAAACACACCCTCATGCAATCCATATCATGCGGTCACATGCCTACCAGGGCCGACTGGATGGTACTTGTCTGCCAGAAGTGAGTCAAGGCAGAAGAATCAACACAGGAGCTGGAAGGGCCTCTGGAAATCAGCTGGGGACTAGAAACAAGAGGCTGTGAAACCAAGAGAGTTCCAAGACCTCCAGGAAAACATCTCCCTGCTAAAAGCCTTTCCCAACCTTTAGAAATCTATTCAAAAAAAAAAAAAAAAAACTCTTCCTTTTCCCTCCTTTCTATTTTTTTTTTTTTTTTCTATCTCTTTATCGCTCCTCTTGTCTCTTCCTTTCTTTCCTTCAGTAAACGTTTTTTGAAACGATGATGCGCAAAAAAGACCTGATCCAGTCTATGGCGCGTTTCTATGGGAAGATGAACACGACTTCCCAGCAGAATAAAGCGTGATTACACCAAGGACCGGTTCCGTCACCCTTTCCCCGGCCAGGTCCACGTCCCCAGACGTCGGAGAAGGGGTTGGGCCGCGCAGCGGGGCTTCTGAAGCTGCCGAAAGCCCCAGGCAAATGCGGGCAGCCAGTGGCTACGCGGTCTCCTAGCGACAGGGCGGCGGCAGGGCACACACACCGCCCCGGGCGGTGGCCGCGGAGCTAGGGCCAGCATGGCGGACAGCAGGCGGCGGCTCGGGCCGGGGACGTTGGCCCGGGCGCCTGAGGGCGTGAACTGCAGGTCCGGGTAAGCGCGCGGCGCACCGGCCGAGGGCGTATCCCACGTGGGCCGCGCGGGGGCGCCTGGAACCCGTGCTTGCTGGGGCGGGGGCGGGGAATGGGCCCACAGACGCAGAAGGTCTGGGGGAGGTCCTGCCTGTCTTCCCTCCTCAATGCCCCCGTGCGTACACCATAACTCTATAAGATAACCAATGCTCGGCTCTGCTCTTCGCAAAGGACTTTTCCTTCTGTCCTCCTGATGACCCCCGCATCCCACGCCCCCAGGGAGGTAGACTAATATACCCGTTTCTGATGGGAAAGTGATGGTCGCGAGTCGTCTGCGGAGGCTGGTTTAGCCCAGGACTCTGAGCCCTCCTACTAGCCACCCACCCTTCTCTGGCCTAGTCAACCAACTGTTCTCTAATGCCCCGGGGTGCCCGAAACCCTGTATCCGATATTAGGCATCAGCTGCCCATGGAGCCTTTGGCATCCAGGTGAGGGCTGCGGCCAAGTGGAGCCCAGGGCTGGGAGCGCCTGGGGTACCAAGGAGGTCTGCGGACATTTTGTATGGTTGTCGTAACCTCAGAGCAGGAACAAGGTTTTTGCCTTTGCCGACTCGTTGAGCACCCTTTGAGAATGGAATTCGTTTATCTTGGAGACAGCACGATGTGGTGGTGAAGATTCCAAAGTCTAGAATGAGAAAGGCTTGATTCTCCTCCTGTTTGCCTGGTGACTTTAGGCAAGTTGGTTGCTCCTTCTGGGCTCACTTTCCTAACTATAAAATGGGGACAATAACTTAGGAATCAGCTAAAATTGTTGTGAGGATTAATGAAGGTAACACATGCAAACTTGTCCCTGGCACGTAGAATGTATTGTGTACATGTTTGCAATTATTCATAGTTGTTTCTAGCAGTTATTCATAAGAGCTTCTTTGGGAATCCTCTCTCCCCATTTAAAAACTTTGTTTTGGCCGGGGCTGTAATCCCAGCACTTTTGGGAGCCACCGCGCCTGTAATCCCAGCACTTTGGGAGGCCGAGGCGGGTGGATCACCAGGTCAGGAGATAGAGACCATCCTGGCTAACACGATGAAACCCCATCTCTACTAAAAATACAAAGAATTAGTCGGGCGTGGTGGCATGCGGCGCCTGCCAGTAGTCCCAGCTACTCGGGAGGGTGAGGCAGAATTGCCTGAACCCAGGAGGCGCAGGTTGCAGTGAGCGGAGATGGCACCACTGCACTCCGGCATAGTGTTGAAGCGAGACTCTGTCTAAAAAAAGCACACGCAAAAAAAACGAAGTACTTTGTTTTGAAATAACTGTAGACTCACAAGAAGTTGCAGAAATAGTACAGAGGTCCCATGTACCCTTCCCCTAGCTGCTTAGAGTGGTACCATTTTACATAACGATGGTACGTTGCCAAACCAGGAAACGTCATTGGCAGAATATGCTAGTTGAACTATAGACCTTACTTGGATTTTATCAGCTCTTCTTGCACTCTGTTGTGTCTGTACATAGTTCTGTAACATTTGATCATATGTACCCATCAAGACACAAAACTGTTTCATACCCACAAAGGTACCACTTAGTGCTACTCCTTTCCTGTCACTTCTTTCCCACCACAGCCCTCGGCAACCACTAAGCTGCTGTCCATTTCTCTAAGTTTGTTCTTTTGAGATTGTTAGATAAATAGAATAACGCAGATTATTACTGTTTGAGACTGGCTCTTTTTCACTCATCATAAAACCCCTGAGATCCATCCAAGTTGTCTGTATCAATAGCTCATTTTCGTTGCTGAGTAGTGTTCCTTGCTGTGGATGTACTACAGTTTGTTTGTTGTTGAAGGACATTCATGTTGTTTTGGACATTCCAGTTTTTGGACTATTATGTAGAAAGCTGTTATCAACATTTATGTACAGAACTTTATAAGAACATATTTTTTCATTTCTTTAGGATACATGTCCAATATTCTTTTGCAAATCTTAAAGAGGGAAATATCCACATACCATGTACTAGTGTCTGGGAAAACAGTAAATATTTAGAAAAATTTGTTTTCAGTTTTATTTTATGGGCCAAGCAAGATTTTTCCTGAACCTAACATAATGCAGAGTGGTAAGCTTATTAGCTATGAGAGGCCATGTGGGGTAGAGGAGAGCCCTCCCTCTAGACTGGTTGCCTCACTCACCTCTTGGAACTTAGTTTCCTTGTTGAAAAGAGGGAAGTGGTAGCTAGGCACGGTTGCACATACCTGTCGTCCCAGCTACTCAAGAGGCTGAGGTGGGAGGATCACTTGAGTCTGAGAGGCAGAGGTTGCAGTGAGCCAAGATCATGCCATTGCACTCTAGCCTGGGAAACAGAGCAAGACCCTGTGAGAAAAAAAAAAAAAAGAAAGCAAGGAAAGAAAGAAAGGGAAAGAAAGAAAGAGGAAAGAAAAGAGTAAAATCGCTCATGCCTAACACTTTGGGAAGCTGAGGCAGAGGATCAGTTTAGCAGAAGTTTCAGACTAGCCTGGGCAACATAGCAAGATCCTGTCTCTACAAAAACAATTTAAAAAATCAGCTAGGCATGGTGGTGCACACCTGTAGTCCCACCTACTTGGGAGACTGAGGTTGTAGGTTTCCTTGAGCCTAGGAATTCAACCCTCGGTGAGCTATTGAACTATAATTGCCATTGCATGCTAGCCTGGGCCACAGAGCAGACCCTGTCCTGAAACAAACGAACAAACAAACCAGAATGAAAAAGAAAAGTGAAAAAAATGGACTGGATTTCTTTCAGGATCTCTGCTGGTTCTAACATTCTATGAAGCTTCAGCTCACTGCCACATACATTCCCCATTTTGAGTTGTATGCTGTGCTTAAACAAAAATATTTGTTTTCAGATTTGATTTCACGAAGTGCTTGGATGCTTGAATTAGTTGTAATGTGCATAAAATAAACTTTGTGAAGATATTTAATAATATGGAAAGTTACTAATAGGTCATGCTGAATGAGTCATCAATCTTATGATTAGATGTAATTTCAACATCTTTCTGCCATTTAGCTATTAAAGAATGATTTATTAAATGCAGAGAGTAGCTTTTTGTAAATTCATTTTTTTGTGTCCTTTCATCTAGATTTTCACAGTAGAGTTGGGTTAAGCTCTTAAACCACAGGCACACATCTATACAACAAGTAAGAAGCTTCTAGGACTCACTAGAAAAGAACTGGCGAATCTCTTAAAAATACTTTGTAACAATGATTACCTTTGGTGTAAAAAGACATTATGGATAAAAGGGGCTTGAAGGTGGAAGAGGCTCCAGGGAAGGACACAAAGACTCCAGAAGCATCTAAGACATTGCAGTATGTGAGAATAATGAGATGCTCAGATTCAAAGTCCTGGCTTTGGTGTTGGCTAGTTGTGTTAGGTTATTCAGGAGCTGGTTCTGCTTCCTTCCTGTTTGCCCATCTGTCTCTTCTGTCTCGTCTCTATGCCCTAACTACTCAGCACCAACAGGGGGCTGGTGGATAAGAAGGCTGAGTGAAGCAGCTGTATATACGGCAGTAGGGAGAGGGGAGTTTGTGAATGAGAGAGCACATGGTTTGTCTCAAGTGGGCAACCATTATACCTGTCATTGGCAGAATATGCTAATTGAACTATAGACCTTACTTGGATTTTATCAGCTCTTACTTGTGCTCAGGTGTGTTTGTATATAGCACACATGTTATACCAATTGTGGCTCCTTGGAAAGGTGGACCCGCTGTTCACAGGTCTTGAAAAATCTGTTTTTCCAAGAGGAGATGTTTTTCCTGATTGTTTATGTGAACATTTTTATTGATCAGAAACTCTAGTAGAGTGATTAAGCACCTTTTCCTGGAGCTACATTACCTAGGTTAAACTCCCAGCTCTACCACTTATTAGCCATGTGACCTGTGGCAAGTGTTTTTGTTTTTAACTTCTTTGTGCTCAATTTTCTTAACTGTAAATGGGAATAATACTCATGCCTTATTCATAGGGTTGTTATGAGATTTAAATATGCTGATATGTGTAAAGCACTTAGAACAGTGCCTGTTATATTGAAAATTCTCGATTTATGTTAGCCAATATGATTCTTATTAAAACACAGGAGGACCAAATGACAGGTTTGTTGGCTTGATGTAGCCCATGGACAGCCATTTTGCAACCTTTGATCCCCTGAGTTTAGGGGGAACCCACAGAGGTTATATGAAGAGCCAAGGCCATTCAGCTAGTTGGAGACCAAGTTGTCACTGGGATCCAGGCTCTTCCCACCCCACTGCACTCTGTCCCTTTTAGTGAAGAGAAAGTGTCCTTGGGAAAGGCAACAACCTGAGTGTCCCTCACAAAGCGATTAGAGAGATGAAATGTGGTGGCAGCAATTGAAATAATGAATTAGATTTATATAGAGTGACATGGAAGGGTCTTTTTAAAATATAGTGCTAGATAAACAAGAAACAGAATATTGCCATTTATGTAAATTAAGAGTGCATGCACCCAAAAGGACACTTCAGAATTTCAAAGATGTGTACAAACAAAGGGTATATTCCAAATCCACTAGAGCAGTTTTGCTTTTGCAAGGAAGACCAGTGAGAGTGGGATGCAGGGATAAAATAGACAAGAAAGCAGGAGAGGGGCCTTGTACAGAGCAGCAATACTGTGCTATGAACTAGGAATATGATTAACTCCTTCTTCCCCTATCCCTTACCCCAAAAGCTGGAGACCAGCCTCTGTACCACCTCCTTCTCCCACCCAAGTCCTGTGGTCACTATGAGCATGCATGCTGTCTTCTAGGTACAAAGAGAATCTATCTACCTTGCAGGAGTTTCACAAAGCACAAGAATGGGCTGAAGTTCCCCACGTCCCTGAACAGCCGGCAGTGGGTATTTCTAAGAAAGGCGCCGGATGACTTCAAGAAGGGCTGCCCCCCTTGCACCGGTCTGGCCACTCAGGTCCCTGAGGAGGGCTTTCTGCCCCGGATTTATCACAGAGCTCCCCAGCTGGACCCAAAGAAGAGGCAGATCAAGCTGCCCAAGGAAGCAGACCTGCTTTCCAAGCTCTCGCCAGCCCAGCAGGCTCGGAAGGCATTCCTGGAGGATGTGGAGGCCCGCCTGACCCCACATCCCTTGGCGCTCCACCCAAATCTGGAAGAAGCTATGCCTGTAGAGGTGATCTGTCCTAGGGTTTGTGGGAGGGGCTTCACTGGGGCCTTGCAAATAATTCTATCTAAATGTCTAGGGAGTCCCCATGAGAGGGTGACATATTTATAAGAGGAGCAATGAAAGTCCCCCAGAGTGTGAGTTCTTGTGGGCCTCAGAGCAGCCTTCTGTCCTCTGCTCCCAGAAAGCACAACCAGCAGCAACATGCACACTGCTCTCTTTGCTTCCTGTGGAGCCCTTCAACTTACAAAGGTGCCACAAACCAGAAACATATGACTTCTGTTCCCCATAATTTCTACCCGTCTACTGTACTTTGTGTTGTGACTTTTTTGGGGGAGGAAACAATGAAAGGGAATTGTCTAGTCTTATTTTTGTCTCTTCAGCCTGGTATTAGGAGGTGCCCTTAAATGCTTATTAACAGGTGGAAAGAATGAGACCAGAAAGGATGTGGGGAAAATCCACCTAATGGTCCAGGCCAGGGCTGGACAGCAGCAGCTCTGTGATGTCACCAATGTCCCAGGCCTCTCCCGACTTTTAGCTCCATATCCTTAGTATGCATCTCTTATCCTTGTTTCTCAAAGTGGCTTCCATGCTTCCAGGCATTGAGTCTGTATTTCAGACAAGAAGAGGGAAGGGACAAAGGCTAAAAGGTGCAGGCCAGCTGACTCTCTTTTAATTAGGCAAACAATAGCTTTCCTCTGGCGTGTGCTGCGTCCTGAGCTGCACAAGGATTCGAAGACCTACGAGGGAATGGTGAGGGATAAGGAAAGACACAGACAGAGAGAAAGCTGGGCCAGGTGGTCCGAGAGGTGAGGATGTCAGTCTCTTCAGCCCCGACCTGCCTCAGTGTACTTTATTTTATATGTTTACAAAGCACATAGCAGAGGAAGGGTACAGTTACTTAGAACAGCCTGTGAATATTATTCTCGTACTTCAGTTAACATACTTCAGCTAGAAACTATCTTACAGCAAGGTCAGAGAAAGCTGGTTATCTCTCTCTAAGCCCATTTGTTCTTCTCTGAGGCATACACATTCTCCTACTGTAGTTTCGCTTCCCTGAAGTTCGACCAAAGATCACAGCAGCCTTGCTGCTGATCCCCCCAGAGGGGGTGGGCTACTCTGGCTCCCTATACTTTACCAGTAAACATCTCTTTCACCTGACTATTCCTAGTTGTTAGGGAATCTAGCAAATTGAGTTTCAGAGTTGGGCATTGAACCTGAGCAAAACCCAGGTTCTATCAGGTTTAAGGAAGAAAGGCAGAGTGGATTTTGGGCAGGGAGCTAGCAGTGACTGCAACCCCATCCCCATCCCTGCAGCCTATATTTACACAGAGAGAAAGACAGTGATTCAGAAAGGCGAACCTCTACTCAGAGCCCTCCAGTGCCCCTTCTCACTCGGAGAAAGCCAGAGTTGTTGCCGGGGTCTGAATGGCCCTGGTGCTCTGCTCTCCACAGTACCCCTGTTCTGCTCCGTCTCCAACTGCACTCCTGCTCTTCTGCGCTCACTCCTGCCACTCCAACCACCCTGGCCTCCTGGCTGCTCCATGGACATTATCAGCATGTCCAATTCAGTTCTCTGTTCTGGTGCCTGGAACACTTGCCCCAGATGGCTGCTTGGCTGACTCCTTCACTTCCTTCAGATCAATGCCCAAATGTCTTCTGATTGGAGAGGCCTGTATATAATAGCACTTCCCTTCCACCCTCACACGCTGTTCCTTACTGTGCCCTATTTTGCACTGTAGCACTTACCACCACTGTGCTCCTCCTACAGTAGAGCTTACAAGAGCAGGGACTTTGTGTTTTTCACTGTGTACCACCAATCCCTGTCCTATGGCGGACACAAAATAAATGATTTTAAATGAAAGAATAAATAAATGATCAGTGGCAGAGAAGTCTACGGAAAGGACAGCTAGAATCGCTGTCAGTTAACTACTCTCTGGGTCTTTCCTTCACTGCCTCCTGCAGGCCAGAGCTTCTGAGTCCACGACAGAGAGATTGTTTTCACACACCTCAGATGGCACATGGGCATGGCTTGGGATTGTGGCGCTTATTTTTATGGGTGACCTCCCCAAATAGGTGTGTTGGCTTCCTGCTGAGGCAGGTTCTGTTATGGTGCTGAGGTGGCCATCAGAAGATCCAGGTTTAAGCTCTATCCACTTAGCAACCCCAGCAGAAAGAGAACACATTTTTTTTGCGTGATCCCAGAAAAATTCCATAGCCTAATTTTCACGGGTCCAACTTTGATCATGTACCTATTCCAAAGTCAGTCACTGTGGTTCTGATTATCTGGTCTGCCTGAGGAGTGAGGATGGGGTCAGGCTAATTTAGACCATGCATGTTGAGAGTGGAGAGAAAGGTGATTCTCCAAGGAAAAATCCAGATAGTAATGAGAGGAAAAGTAGATAGTGGGCAGTCAAAAACCACAGAAATCCTTTAGAAGCACTTCACTCAGTGGGCGTTTGGGGACTAGGGCCCCTCTAGAATGGACATATTCCATTCTAGAGGAAGTAGAATTTTAGTAAAAGGCAGTGTAGCCAGTGTCCAGGTGATGGGAGGTTTATCCAAGTGGTGCTGAAAGACATAGTCCCAAACACCATAATCGTGAATGTTGAGATCTCCAAAGTCTAAAATCCCACAAATCACAATCTTGAAAGATTAAACTCCTGAATATTGAAATCCTGAAAGACAAATTCTGGGGAAGGGATTAGTGTGGTTTTGGTTATATGCAGGATAGTTGCATCATGGTGGTTGGATCTATTACTTTGCTATCGTCTTTATTTGGAAATTAAATACGGTTTAAGGAGATGAGTATGAGCGCCAACCTGACAAGGGGTGGACTTGTGGTCTTGATTTTAGGTGTCAGTTTGACTGCATTAAAGAATTCCTAGAAATGTGATAAAGCGTTATTTTGGATGTGTCTGTGAGGAGGTCTCCAGAGGAGATTAGTGTGTGAGTCTGAGTGAAGCAGGTCAGGAAGATCTGATGTCAGTGTTTCAGTACTTCAAAGATCATAGAATAACTGAAAATGCAGATGAAAACTACGAAATCTCCTCTGCCAAATTATTCAATTGTGTACAATTTCTGCCCCTTCGCATATAACACACTGCTTGCCTTCAAGCATGTGACACCTTTTGTGAGAGAATTACAAGAATTTGGCAAGCTGAGCGACCTTGACATTTGCTGATATTGAGATTCCTCCAGTGTTATAACCACATAAAATGGTGAACTATTCTTGTTTAAAGATTTGACTGTTAAGGAAGACAGACTTCTTATATTTACCACTATCTAACATAGAAAAACTCGTGCATGTTTCACTTTGGCTATTGGATGGCACTTTCAAGACTGTCCCCACTTCTTAAAATCATTGATATACAATTCATGTCCCTGCTGGATCTGGAAATTCTAAACCTGATCTGCTTCTTTATATGTTAATGACTAGAAACAAGTGAAGTACTTTATAATCACTTGTTTGAGGATTTGGCAGACTGTGCAGAAGAAAATGGATTTCTTTGAATCCTGAAGCCAAAATGACAGGTTTCGAATTAAGTGTCATTAAAGCTTCTAAAAGTGAACTTGAGCTACCAATAAGGTTTTTTTTTTTTTCATGTAGTCCAACACATAGGCAGAAATTCAGATGAATGGATTGGCTATGTGACATGGCAATGACAGAAACTTCAGTTTAAAAATGAATCATTTCATGATCCTACACCCAGAAAACTAAAGATTCATCCAAAAGACTCCTAGATGACTTCAGTGAAGATTCAGGATACAAAATTCGTGTTCAAAAATCAGTTGTGTCTCTATACATTATCGATGCTGAAGCTGATAACCAAATCAAGAACTCAATAGTGTTTACAATTGCCACAAAAAACTAAAATCCTAGGAATACATTTAACGAAGGAAGAGAAAGACCTCCACAAGGGGAACTACAAAACACTGATGAAAGAAATCATAAATGATGCTAACAAATAGAAAAATATTCCATGTTCACGTACAGGAAGAATCGATATTGTCAAAATGACCATACTATCCAAAGCAACCTACAGATTCAGTGCTATTCCTATCAAATTACCAACATCATTTTTCAAATAATTAGAAAAAACAATTCTAAAATTTATACAGAATCAAAAAAGCACCTAATTAGCCCAAGTAATCCTAAGCAAAAAAACAAAGTTGCGGGTCATTATGTTATCCAACTTCAAACTATACTGCAAGACTACAGTAACCAAAACAGCATGGTATGGGTACAAAAATATGCCCATAGATTAATGGAGCAGAATAGAGAACCCAAAAATAAAGCTACACACCTATAGCCACCTGATCTTTGACAAAATTGACAAAAATAAACAATGGAAAAAGGACACCCTATTCAATAAATGGTTCTGGGAAAACTGGCTAGCCATATGCAGAAGAGTGAAACTATGTCCCAACCTTTCACCATATAAAAAAATTAACTCAAGATGGACTAAAGACTTAAATGTAAGATCTGAAACTATACAAATTCTAGAAGAAAACCTACAAAAAACTCTTCCGGACATTTGCTGAGGCAAATAATTTATGACTACAACCTCAAAAGCAAATGCAACAAAAACAAAAACAGACAAATGAAAATTAAGATAAAGAACTCTACACTGCAAAAGAAACTATCAACAGAGTAAACAGACACCCTACAGAATGGGAGAAAATATTTGCAAACTATACATGTGACAAAGGACTGTCTAGAATCTGTAAGGAACTTAAACAATTTAACAAGAAAAAAGAAAAAAAAAACTCCATTAAAAAGTAGGCAAAGCCAGGAGGTATCCCTGGGAGGTTGAGGCCTCAGTGAGCCATGATTACACCACAGCTCTTCAGCCTGAGTGACAGAATGTGAAACCTTGTCTCAAAAAAAAAAAAAAAAANAAAAAAAAAAAAAAAAGAAAGAAAAAGAAAAATATAAAGCATGTACAAAGGACATGAACAGCCACGTCGCCAAAGAAGACACACAAGCAGCCAACAAACATATGAAAAAATGCTCAACATCACTAATCATCAGAGAAAAGCAGATTAAAACCACAATGAGATGCCATCTTGTATCAGTCAGAATGGCTATGATTGAAATAAAAAAAATCACAGATATTGACAAGGATGCAGAGAAAAGAGCATGCTTATACACTGTTGTTGGGAATGTAGGTTAGCTCAAACTCTATGGAAAACAAGATGGAGATTTCTCAAAGAACTAAAACCAGAACTACCATTCAACCTAGCATTTCTACATCTACCCAAAGGAAAATAAATTGTTTTATCAAAAAGACACCTTCACTCATGTTTATCACAACACTATCACAATAGCAAAGTCATGAAATCAACCTAAGTGTCCATCAGTGATGGAATGGATACAGAAAATTTGGTATGTATATACCACAAAATACTATGCAGCCATAAAAAGAATGAAATCATACCTATTGTAGCAAGATGGATGGATGGCCATTATCCTAAGTGAAATAACTCAGAATCAGAAAATCAAATACCATGTGTTCTCACTTATAAGTGGGAGCTTAACAATGGGTATACATGGTCATAAAGATGGAGATAATAGACACTGGGGCTTCCAAAAGGGGGCGCTGGGAGGGTTTTGAGGATTGAAAACTACCTATGGGGTACTATGTTCACTGTTTGGGTGCTGGATTCACTAGAAATCCAAATCCCAGTATTACACAACATACCTATGTAATATACCTATACATGTATCCCCAAATCTATAATAAAAATTTTAAAGATAAAAAGTTTTTTTGAAGGAAGAAAATAAACATGAAAAAAAGTGTCATTTGTTTGCATTGGCATTCCTTACAGCTGCTGAAATTCCAGGAGGTGTTAATAAATTAAAGCTGTATTTGCCTGAAGAGATCAGTGATGTTACTAATTGGTTAAAAAATAACTATAGGCTAAGTAAGATAAGAAGATGGTGTTGCTGTTGGATCACCAGTATTGTTTCTGCCAGCTTTGGGGTTTGTATGAGTACATGTGAGTGTATATTGAATCACGGAAGAATTTTAAAAAGAGCAGTGCCATGTAGAAAATGAATATGAACGTATTCTCCAAGGAGAGCCCTAAAAGAAAAAAAAAAAAAAACTCTTTATTGTGATGCAAGACTTCAAAATATAGTTAGGGATTGTGAATGCCTGCCAGATCTTATGGACTACCTCTGTGTAATTTTCCATAATCTATCTTTCATTCTGTCACCCAAGCTGTAGTGCAGTGGTGCAATTATAGTTCACTGTTACCTCAAACTCCTGGGCTCAAGGGATCCTCTCTTCAGCCTCTTAAGTCATCTAGAACTACGGGAGTGCACCACTATGCCTGGCTTTTTTTTAAATTTAATTTTTTATAGAGATACGAGTCTTGTTATGTTGCCCAGGCTGGTCTCAAACTCCTGGCCTTATGCCATCTTCCTGCGTCAGCTTCCCAAACCACTGAGATTACATGCCTTAGCCACTGCTCCCGGCCCCATAATGCTTTTTGATTGATTTTGTCAAAAAGCTTAGGTTGTCCATCACTGTATTTCAGATGACTAAAATTATGAAGCAGAGTGCACACAATTGCCAACCATAGTGATATGCGTTTATACATTTCACTTTTTGAGCTATTTCTTTATGAATATGGTTTGCCTGCTCATATTATACCCATGTGACTTTTGCTAGTATACCTGAGTGTTTATGCTTATAAAAATATGTATATTATTGTTGCCTAGTTCATTGTGTATAGTGGCCTATGAAGTGTTCTCTCATTTTTGTGTTTCTCAAATAAATCTCCATTTAAAAATTTAAGTGCCTTTAAAATAATTTTTTGTAATATTTTTTTCCAGAATTATAGTTTTTGGATTTTAATCTTTGGGATTGTGATTTTGAGGATGTTAGACTTTAGGGACTGTGATCTTTCAGGATTTTAACATTTGGGATTGTGTCTTTTGGAACTATGGTCCAAATCTATCCATAGCACTCAGCATGATGCTTGGCACAGAAGTTGGTGAACAGCACTGATGGACTGAAAAGGAAAATGAAGGGCAAGTTGGTCTGTTTTGTTGTAGAATGAGGACTCTCTTCTTCAGCGTGTTTTTCTTTTCCTCTTAGACTATTTTCTGTTTGCAGCTCTTATTAAGCGTGCTGGAAGTGCTCGATCCTGACCAGAAGCTGGAGGACACATGGGCTTATTGTCAGGATTCAAGGAAGGGAATGAAGGAACCCACAAAGCTTTTAAAACAATGTTCTACCCAAGTCTACCTGGGACCGTGAGTATTGTTCTTAAGCCCTTGATCATTGCTGTCACCCGATGAAACATTCTAGGAATTATCTTCTTAAAGCTTCTCATCTTTAGAATAATTCTAAGGAAGGAAATGTAACTAAGTTCCCAAGGAAGAGGAAAAGGAGTCCTAGATACTGCTCTGAATAGTGCTTATTTCTTCAATAGATGTGATTTATCCAGCAACGATGCAGACACAGGTATCTATAAGGAAATTCCAGAGGGAGAGTCCCTCCCTATGCTCCCTATGTTATGATTTTCTAACAGTGAAGGTTAGAAAATTCTTGGTTTTGAGGCAGCTTCTAAGGCTTTCCAATTTCCTTTAATTCAAAAGTGCTCCACATGCCAAAGCACCATACTTTTTGGGGTATCATCCTTTGTGCCCCAAGAAATGTTAAGGCTGGAGGGCAGTGAAGAGATTACAACTCACTGCAGCCTTGAGTTCCTGGACTCAAATGATCCTTCTGCCTCAGCCTCCTGAGGAGCTGGGACCTCAGGTGTGCACCACCATGCCTGACCTATGCCTTTTTTCTGAGTATAGGTCCACTGCTTGGAGTTTCCACCCATCTTTTTTGCATAACTCATACTTGTGATACTACCTTCATTGACCCTTTTCAAAGCATTGCATTTAATGAAAGCATCTCCCTTTTAGAACACTTTTCTGATTCCCTCGTCAATATAATATTTAATTAAATAACATAAATGCAGTGATAAGTATTCTGGACACAAATAGATTTGGGATACATATGTTTTCTTGTTTGTTTTTGAGACAGTCTCTCTCTGTTACCCAGGCTGGAAGAGCAGTGGCGCAATCTTGGCTCACTGCAACCTCTGCAACCTCTGCCTCCTGGGTTCCAGCGATTCTCGTGCCTCAGCCTCCCAAGTAACTGGGACTATGGGCACCCACCACCACGCCTGGCTAATCTTTGTATTTTTGGTAGAGATGGAGTTTTGCCATGTTGGCCAGGCTAGTCTTGAATTCCTGGCCTCAAGTGATCTGTCTACCTTTGCCTCCCGAAGTGTGGAGATTATAGGCATGAGCCACTGTGCCCGGCCTACATTTGACTTTTGAAATTAAAGACCTCACTGATGGGTGCTGAAGAGTATGGTGAACTAGAGAGTAGCCTGTCCACAGCACCCAGACACTTCGAGGGGTGTGGACTATGGTCAGTGTGTTTGGTGGGGGCCATGTAGAGCTTGATTGTTCACACACATTACCTACATGGAGGTGGATTTAGAGAGAATCCACTGCATTACATTATGCATGTTTGTTAGGGTAACACACAAGGTGAGAGGAACTCTACTCTTATGATATTTCAGTCCATCTCCTGGTAAATGTAGGAAGGATAACTGGGCATGCTTGTCTCGGTTCTGCCTTTCTTTAATGACGAGCAAGCCGGCCTGTGGGAAGCACAATTGCTTCTTGCTTCCCCCTTCTAGAGGAGAGGACTGCCCTGGTCTAGCCCTGCAGGGGACTGGGTGGAAGGGTCTGCCAATTTCTGGGTCCTCTTGGACCTAAGCCATGTCGTCTATCAGGGCTGCTGTTAGCAGAGAAGGGGATATTTTGGCTTTTGTCTTTGCTCTCTGTATTATTTTTCAAGTTGCTTAGAACTTGGGTGGGGGAGTGAGAGGAGTGTTATTTGTAGGAATCTGTGATGTAGTAAATATATTTGGTCTTTGTCCCCTGCTGCTGACACGGGGCTCCTAAAAACCTTGGGATTTCCTGAGTGACAGGGATACTTTTTGTTATTCATAACGAGCCCCTTTTAGTCACTGCAGAATTTATGCTAATGAGGTGCTCAGGTTGGGGCCCTCAGATTGTCTTAGAATGTGATTGGTTACCAGAAAGACCAAGTGATTAGAGGGATAGAATGCTCAGTCCCACTCAGTGACTGCTCAGAGGGGACGGGGGGAGGCATGGCTGGAGATTAAAAATTCTTGAGCAGATAATCTGATGAACCTCCAGGTTGATGATCACATCCACGTGCTGGCAAGATGCAAGCGACACCAACTCCCCCTCACCATATAATCTCTCCTTTCCTTTAGAGCAAAGTTTTTTGAAAGAGGCACTCATGTTCAGTCTTCTTTTTCTCTCTAAACAGCAATCAGGGCTCTTATCTCCAGCACTCCACTGAACCTGACCTTAGTCAAAGTCACCGTTGACCTCTATGTTACTAAATCAGCTCTCAGGGATCACCATACTTGATGTATACATAGTAGCAATTGACGTAATTGATCACATCCTCTTTCTCATAACACTTTCTTTACTTGGCTTCTGGAACGTCCTCTTTGACAGACCTCTCCGTAGTCGTCTTCTAGTGGTCCTTCTTTACCTTTCAGTGTTGAAATACTTTGGTCTTGGACGTCTTTTCAGCACATTTACCCACAAGCAAGTGACCTCCTCTGGTTCATCTGTATATGGATAATTCAATATTTGTCCTTGGATGTTTAACTGGCATCTCAGGCCAAAACTGAACAAACCCAAAACTGAACTGTTGGTTTCTCCCCCAAACTTATTCCTCCTTCTGTCTTCCCCAGTTCAGTAAATAGCAACCTCATCTTTCCAGTTTTTTCTGGAACAGTAGTTGCAATCTGCCAGCAAATGGTAGTGGCTTTACTTTCGAAATGTATCCAGAATCTCACCTTTTCCACACCAGTCTTTTCCAAGATTCCATTCCTCTTGCCTGGATTATTGCAATAGGTTACTAACTGGTCTCATGGCCTCCACCCGAGACCCTCTCTCTCAAGTCTACTTGTCACACAGTAGCTGATGTGATCCTTTAAAAAACTTAAGTATAATGTCATTCCTGTGCTTGAGATTCTCCAGTTCCTTTTTTTTTCTGAGTAAAATAGTAAAATCCAAAGTCCTTACAACTGCCTTTAAAGTACTGTATTATTAGGTCCCTGTCACCGCTCAAGCCTCAGCCTCTGCTTTTCTACTCTTTAGTTACTCCTCTCCGTGGGACTCTGTTGTTCTTTGAACATGCTCAGCACACTCCCAGCTCAGGGTCTTTGCACGTGCCATTCTTTTCTGTCTGTTGTCTGCATGACTTGAAATGTGCCTGGTTTGATTCCTTTCTTCTTTTAGGTCTTTGATCAAATATTACTTTACTAGAGACACCTTATCTGTACAAATAAAATTCTCCCTGCAATCACTCTCCATCCCTCCTGTCCTATTTTATTTTCTCTATATCACTTATAATCACCTGGAATATGTTTGTTTGCTAACTGTCTCCCCTATTCAATTGTATACTCTATGAGGATAGGGGCTTAACTTTATTTACAGTTCAATTCTAATGACTGGCACATCGTCAGTGCTTACTGAATATTTGTTGAATGAATGGATGGATAAGTTAATATATGAGTGCTATGAATAAAAGGTGCAAGGGCTATGAAAATTAGGTCCAGGGGACAGCCAGTGGGGATGCCTCACTGAGGAAGACACATGTATGTTGAGACATGAAGGGGATGAGGAAATGGTGACAGCATTGCAGTCAGGTGGAACAGCTCAAGCAAAGGCCCAGTGGCTGGGAGTAGCATGAATTCACAGAACTGAGAGACGACCACATTGGCTGGAGCTCAGAGAGTGAGAAAGAGTGGTAAGTCCCAAAGAACCTGCAGAGCCAGGCCATGAAGAGCCTTGGAGGTTGTGTCAAGGTTTAAGTCTTTATTGGAGAATGAGCAAGAGCCTGTTGAACACAAAAGCTTGTGTCCATAGCAGCATTGTCCCTAACAAGCATGAAGTGGCAACAACCCAAATGCCCATCAACTGGATATGTTTGTGAGAATGGATAAATAAAAAATGGTCTCTCTAGACAATAGAATATTGGCCATAAAAAGGAATAAATGACTAATACATGCTACAACATGGATGAGCCTTGAAAACATTATGCTAAGTGAGAAAAGCCAGACACAAAAGACTACATATTGCACGATTTCATTCAGATGAAATGCCCAGAATAGACAAATCTACAGAGACAGATAAGTAGTCGTTGCCAGGAGCACGGGAAGTGGGGAAATGGTGAGTGATTATCAATGGCTACTGGGTTTCTTTCGGGGAAATAAAAATGTTCTGGAACAAGATAGTGGTGATGGTTGCACAACTTTGTGAATAAATAAAGGGTACTCTTTCATACACTTTTCAAGTGGTAAATTTTATGAACTTCATGGTGGATGAATTATATCTCAATTTTTATAAAGAAGCTATTGATGGCGAAGAAGGGTGAATGCGTTTGATGTGTCCGGAGCTGCATTTTGAAATGACTGCTTGGGCTGCAGTATAGGGAATGGATTGGGGGTTGGAGGTTGGGGGGTGGCACAGGAGTTGATGATGCAGAGACACTAGCAAAGAGCGTTTTTGAGCAGTCCAGAGAAGGAGACAGAGTTAAAAATCTGCCAGACTGTAACTGGGCTGAATTTTGGGAATGATAGAGAAATCAAGGATGACTCCTACTTGTCAAGGTTGCCTGAGGTTTTGGTAGACTTCAAGCACAGTAATTTGGACTTTTACCCAGTACATGGTGTAGTAAATGATACTCAAAATTTTAAAAATCAATGTATAATGGTAAAATGCTATATAAGTTTTAATTATTATAACTAATCATGATATACTAGTCATTACGATATTGGTAATGAGAATGTGATCTTTGAAAAATAAAAATATAATTTGTATGTGAGCTTGCAAAAGACTGTTAGAAACACTTGCTTTATGATCTTCTTTTGCCTCCAAAACCTTTTGAAATCCATTTGAATTCATTGTGTCTCATATTGTAGCTATTTGATGATCTTACTATCTTTAGTTCCAAGAAGACTTCTGTGTCAAATTCAGGCCAATGGCTTTATGAAGAAAATCCACATAAAATGGATTTGTCCCATGAAAATAGTCTTCGTCTTCATGAAAATGTACGCAAAGCAGTTAGTGACTTCTGCAGCTGGGTTACTACTTTTGTAAGTTAATAGTAATACTTAAGCCTACTTTTAAATTACATGCTCAAAGTTGCTTTTATTAAAAAACAGTATTGGATAAAATCTAAATTGAATCATCAAAGTCATAAAGGAACTATTGTCTTCTATCATTTATAAATAGAAATATTCCTGGTAGATGAAATTTCTGGAAAGTTTGCAAGCTTGTGGCTAATTTGACCATTTATGTTTACATCTCACATCATTGCAATTGTTTCATATTTTCATTTTCCATTTTAATGTCAGGACTTTCTTTTCTCTCTGTCTTTTACTCCTTCAACTCATTATTCTAGTTATATTTGTCTAGGAGTACTTGGGCAGGGATCCTTGACTATAATCTTCACACAAAAATGTTCTAACATGCCAGGTGTGGAGGCTCACGCCTGTAATCCCAGCCCTTTGGGAGGCTGAGGAGGGTGGATTGCTTGAGTTCAGGAGTTCAAGACCAGCCTGGACAATACGGCAAAACCTTGAATTTTTGTATAAAACATAAAAATTAGCTAGGTGTGGTGGCATGCCCCTCCCACACAGGTGGCTGAGGTGGGACGATTGCTTGAGCCTGGGAAATCGAGGCTGCAATGAGCTGTCATCATGCCACTGCACTCCAGCATGGGCAACAAAGCAAGACCCTCTCTCAAAAAAAAAAAAAAAAATCTGACATGAAGAGACTTTTGACTCACATATCGAAGTCTTCCCTTGTGCTCCTTCCAAGAACCTATATAGTTCCTTATTCCTGTTCCTGAGTCTCTGTGGATGTCTAAATACCTGATGCTTTTCTTGGATTTAAGGTCTCTAGGATTTGCATTCCACACCCCCACCCCATCTTTTGAGTGTTAGTTTTAGTCAGTGTATTTTTTAGTACTTTTAAACATCAAGCTACTTACTTCATTAGCAAGTGACTGAAATATAATTCAGATTGGTTTGAAAGAGAAAAGGGAAGCATCCAGATATAGTCGGAACTTCAGGCACAGCTGGATCCAAGTGCTGAAATATTTTTAGGTGTTCCTATCTCTTGGCTGTGCAACTTGGATTTCATTCTCAATCAGTATTTCCCCAAGAAATGGCAAAAGTAGCTACTCAGACTTCCAAGCTTATATCCTACTAGCAAGCAACGTAAGTGTGAAGAGAGCAATGCTTTTCCATCCAAGGATTACTCTCACTGGACTAACTTGGGGCACATGCTTGTGCTTGAATTAACCATTATGACTAAGATGATAGAATATGCTTATTGGCTAGGCCAGGACATACACCTAACCCTGAAGCCAAGAGAGGCGGTGTCCAGCCCACTGCAGCAGAGTGAGAGTGAGGAAGAGACTCCTCAGAGGGTGATTGGAGCAGGGATGCTGGATGAGGCAGATGGCGCACACTATGCCTGGTATCCAAACCACTGCTTGTCCATCATCTGTTCAGATTGGATTGCCTGATTTCCAGCATCCACTTCTCCCATTCCTCCTGCTGGAGATGATTCCTCTTCCAAGGCAGGAAACTTAAGGGACCTTGGAGTAAGAGTGTAGCTTCTCTGGTAACTGCCTTTGGTTTTAGACCCTGTGACAAAGCTCCCTGACTCTTCGCTGTCATTCCACAAGCTAGGTCCCTGCCTCCACACTCTGTGGTCTTTTCTTCATAGCACTAGCTTTTGCTTTTCCTTCCATGCTGTTTGTTTATTTGTCACCTCATTGATTCTGCTTGCTTTATTTCTGCTCCATTATTACTTTAGCCTCGCTTTGACTGTACTTGTCCCTTTATGCCTCTGTCTCTGTTTCATGACTCCTCTCTAAATTTTACTCCAAACACGCCAGCTGCTGGTGACTTCATCCTCTCTGTGTTTCCCAGTTTCTATTTTCCAGTAGGAGATTCTACTGAGTCTAAGCTCTTTCAGCCTTGAGCCATATCATTGGTAAATGCTCAGCATACAGATTAGCTGCTCTTAATGTGACCATCTCTACTCCCATCGGCTGTGGCTGAGGGAAGGAAATGGTGAAAGTTTTTCTGTGTACAGAATGCGGCTGACTAAAACCACTCCTTCAGTAGGAGCTGTGAACCCGGCAGCTTCCCTTATTCAGAGTTATCAGCAGAGAAAACACTGCTGTATCTACACAAGTCTGGAAAATCCTTCTAGGGATGCCACTGCTATAAAGTGCTGGAGAAGTTTGCTGTCGATCAAACTGAATTTCCCTCAGACTCATGATTTCCCTCACTTAGGACTCCTGCAAAGTCCTAAGCTGTCTCTTAATGACAAAGCCCTCCAGACCCCAAACACTTCTTGTCTTCAATGAATGCTGACTAAGCATTTCCCACCTCTCCTCAAACTACCTCTTTCCCCAGTAATGGCCAACTACCTCCCTTAGATTAAAGAAGAAAGCAAGGAGCATTTCACCGATGGCCCTCAATTCATGCAGTGTGAAACTCTTCCAGGGAAGTTCGGCCATTGATGAAGAGTTCATCTTGAAACAGTTTGATGTTGACTATCAGACTGAACCAAGCCATGATGCGCTCCACACGGTGAGGCTAAATCAGGTTCCTCTGGAGATAAAGCATAGCTCCAGTGTGGGGCTCAGTAAACTGCAGGAGCCAGAGTTCTTCCAGAAACCAGGATACGAGATGAAACTCCAGAAACCACAGGTAACTGCAGAAGGGAATCAGACTGAAAATCAAAGAAAATTGTATTGAAGTCTTAAAGTTCTCGAATTCTGGTATGCCAAGGGTACCGGCTTTGTAAAGTATAATTCTTGATTTTTTTCATGATTAATGTTTGTTAAACAAATGCATGTTTAATATCTATAACAAAGTCGGTTATACAAACAAGGCATGCCATTTGGGACTATTTTTAATATCTGACTAGTCATTTTCAGAGATAATTTGTTAGGTGTTTTATATGTTGAAATTTTAAAGGTCAGTAGAAATATACATGAATGCAAGAGTAAAATCCTGCAGTTAATTATTGTGAGTGCTGTTCATATTATGTCTAAAGCATACTTGAATTTTTGCTGGAGTCTTACTGACCACAAGCCATCATTCTTGACCACATGCTTGCCTAATGATTAACAAGTTTCCTCAACACCAAGTTGCTGTAAAGATGGAAGAACAAGGCAATAGAAAGGAAAAATAACATGTCCTGTTCCAAAGGGAAGGACTACAGGCCCCTAAAGTACTTTTTTTACTTTTCTACACAGTGTTTCACTGCAAACATACATACACAAGTCAAATTGTGTGAGTCAACAACAGATTTAAGTGCCTAATTGGAGGGGAGAGCCCTTCCCTGAAAGTGAAAAGCAATATTTTATTTCTAATTATCTTCTGCCTTTTATACATAATCTTTGATATACTTCCAATATTTGGGACATAATGCTGTCCTTTACAGTTGAACACATTTGCCAACCTATTTTGGCACGCATGATATTTCTATCCTTGACTCCACTGCATAAGATTTATGAAAATTATGCATTTCATCATGAATATCAGCACTTTTATTTTCCCATTTTCCTTTCATCTTTCTAAAAGGTAAAATGCAAAATGATATTAGACAGGCAAATTATGTCCATCACACCCGAGGCCTGAACCACTGCTTGTCCTGAATCTGGGCTGAATTAAATTGCTCAATTCCCAGTATTTAGAAATAGTTGTGTAAACACTGCTTTACAAACCACGGCAGTTATTGCCAAAATTGAGCTTTTGCCTGGGAAATGGAGGGTCACTATACAAAAGTTGAAAATATATTTCCACATAGTGTCTTTTTTCTTCTGACTAGAAAGACCTCTTTTAACATTTCTTCCAGTGTGGATCCGCTGGTGATAGATTCTTTCAGCTTTTGTGTGTCTGACAAAACCTTGTTCTACCTCATTTAAAAAGATTCAGTAGTTGCCTGTTACCTGTTATCTGTAGTGGTTACGTTCCAAGATCCTTAGTGGATGCTGAAACTTTGGATAGTACTATCTCCTAAATATGCTTGTTTTTCTGATTTGGTAACAGGCAGTTACTCAGTGACTAAGGGCGGGTGGTGTGTACAGTGTGGATGATCTGGACAAAGAGATGATCATATCTCTGGAGGAATGGAACAAGGATGGCTTGAGATTTCATCATGCTACTGAGAATGGCACACAGTTTAAACCTTATGAATTATTTCTGGAATTTTCCGTTTAATACTTCATCCATGGAGCTTTTCTAGGTCCCTTGGTTGACATTAATTTGTTCTTACATCTAATCTCTCACAGCATTGTGTGCCTCCATTTTATATATCTCTCTTTGCCCTCCATATTAATTCATCCGTTTGTGTATGCATTTATTCAAAAACAGTAGTAGGTTTCTGATCACCTACCACTATGTGTTCAAAAGTGCTGGGAATGAATGAAGCAAAAATGGAGGACTGCTTCCTGCACTGACGGAGATTACAGCCTAGTGGGGTCAACAGGTGAATGATTAGCTATAGCGAAATGATGTCATGGTGTGTGCAGGACATAGGAAGAAGTAATCAATTCCACCAAGCACAGGGTGAGGGCATGTTCACGAACGTGTCACATCAGGAATTACATTTATGTTGAGTCTGGAAAGACCACCAGTTACCCAACAACATAGCATATTCCAGAACTCAAGTTCTTCAGCGTGGCAGTGTATAGATTCCATTCCTCTCCTTTTCCCCTCTCTTCTCCAATCTCTTTCCTTCCCTATTTCATTTCAGTCGTTCTCATCAGAGGGCAATTTGCTCTCTTTCCCCCACTTCAGGTATATTTGGCAATATTTAGAAATGACATTTTTGGTTGTCACCACTTGGGTGATGCTATTGGAATCTAGTGGGTAGATGCCAGGAATGCTACTAAATGTCCTATGATACATGGGACAGCCACACACATCCAGGAATGCTGCTAAACATCCTATGATTCATGGGACAGCCATGCACTCACATACAAAGAGTTCCCCAGTACCAAATGTCACTAGTGCCAAAGCTAAGAAACCTTTCATTCCACTAATACTTATAAAGCACTCATTATGTCCTAAGTATTATTCTAGATGCCAAAGAGATGTAGCTGGGAATAATTTCTGAAGCTTATATTTTAGAGGATGAGAAGAGAGACAGACAAATGATCAGAAAATATACAGCATAGAAATGGTAATGAGGGTCATTAAAAAAAGTGAGGAAGAGAAAGAAGGCAAAGAGTGTGGGAGAGGGTTGCCATTTTTTAAACTGGATGGCTAGGGAAGATGCCACTGAAAAGATGACATGAAATAGGTAAAGGAGCAAGCCACTGCTCCCACTACAGCAGACGGAACAGTGTGTGTAGAGGCATTGAGGCAGAAGTATGACGGGGTGCTCTGGAAATAGCAAGGTGGTACGTATGCTTGGAACCGAGAGATCACAGTGCTGAATCCAACTCTAGAAGAGATTTCCCTCCTGTCTATCCTGTCCCATTCTTTCTATCTTAGACAGGCATATCTGGCTCAACTCTAGAATGCCCCACGCATTCCACCATATAGTTTAAATGTGCATGAGAGGAGAGAGGGACAGAATCTTTGTGGTTTCATGTTTCTAACATGCAACAGTTAGAACCCCTTTTGTGATGAGACAGTGTGGGTATTGCACTCACAGTATCAGTCTATGAACCAACAAGAGGTTCTCCTGATGTCCTTGATGTGCTACTGAGGAAGTGGGGAAAGAAGGGAATGAGATAGGTTCATCTTCCTCTTTCTCTCTTCCAATTAAGCCAAGAGCTTGGTGTTAGCAGTTTGATAAAAAATAATGTAGCATGTGCAAGGCTGAGCACTGTGCTGGGCTCATGGTAAGTCTAACAGCTGATTGTTTTGGTTGACTGAGTATTGTTCAAGGTCTTTACTCTAGAGGGAAGTATGTGATTTATACGTGATTTCTAGCTGTGTTACATACATTCTCTCCTTTAATCTTCACAGCAGCCCTGTGGGGGTATATACTGTTGTTCTCTACATTTTACAGATAAAGAGTTTATGTAATTTGATCATGGACTCACACCTACTAATTGGGGGAAAGCTGGATGTGAACCCTGGTCTGTCAAAATGCAAAGGCCATGTTATTAACCACTGCATTATTTTTTAAATCATGAACTTTAATGTTTACTTTGTAAAATCAAAGCATGCTGAAACTTCACAAAATACTTTGGCAAGAACCAACCTAAATTCAAGGTAATGATCCTGTTTTCCTAAGTTAAGCTTTAGATGTATTGACAAACAAACAAAAAATCAATGGCATTGGGAATTATATTACTCTCCGTAGAATCCTTGTAAGCCAAAGTGGGTGAAGATGAAGTATAGAGCATGGTATTTGAACCCCAAGTTCTGGAAAAAGCAAAGAGCTGACGAGCCTCTGGTTGACCGTGAGGTCCCACATAAAGCTCAAGAGAAGAATTTTAAAAAGGAGCTTCAGGAACAGGAATGTATTTACGCTAGGATTTGATCATCTGAGCTTAAGATGATCACAGTGTGTCCTCCACCCTCATACTGAACCAGACTCTGTGGCATAATACAAAGGCTCCTGAAAGCCCTACAACTTGCATATTGAATTCAGCAAGAAGTAAGCCAAGTCAAATCATGCATAATGTGTAATAAGCAAGACTTGGAATCTCCTGGCTTCATGGTAGACACAACATCTTTAAAGATTGGACAGCTACTCATGGTATTCCACCATTCTTGGAACAATTTATCCCAAGGATAATTGTTCAAAGGGTGGTGTGACTTGGTAGGACCACCTCAGTGCCCAGAATAGATATGATATCATGAGTTCTCTTTGGGTAACAAAATGTGAAGCTTGTTTGCTATCAGCTGTGGGTGAATGTCAAAAAATTCAAAATTTCAACCAGGAAATTTCTTTTAGGCAATTGGTCCAAGTTGCAGGAGCTGTCTGAGAGGAAAAGGACAAAGGTTCAGCACTGTTTGATATTGCAAAGCAACAAACACTCGCAACAAGGATGTGCTCCAATTTTACTACAGACAAACTCTGTGCCTGCCCATTGCTTGTGTAAAATTATCTAATGGAAAGAAGATACTCATTATAGCCCTGACATTTGGAAATATTGATGCAGCACTTGCATAGTACTTTAATGAGGATATTTGCGAACCTCTTTTTCAACAGACCCCAAACTTCTCCCAGATAACATGTGAAAACACTTTGAGAAAGTCAAATACAATATGAATTAGACTTATTATTCATCAGTAATCACTTATCAATTGTCTTCTTCAGATTGGAAAGCTAAGACAGGAAGGATGGTCATTTTAATCTTTTCCAGTACTGGATATAAATTCTTATTTTCAGGTGTGAGGTATGACACAAATTTATGAGCACCACATGTTTAGATAAGTCCAAAATTTCTTAGTATGGTTTTTGGAGAGCCTAAATTTATGTGAATCTAATATGTAACATAAAGCTATTCCAGTTGCACTTTATTATTAAAAAAACGCCATTTTCTCAAATTTAATATTTAAAATGAAAAATAGCTATGAATGGTGTCTAGAGCTCTCTTTTTAAAAAGTATCCTTGGACAGGCAAGGTGGTTCACATGTGTAATCCATCACTTTGGGAGGCTGAGGCAGGCGGATCACGAGGTCAGGAGATCAAGACCATCCTGGCCAACACGGTGAAACTCTGTCTCTACTAAAAATACAAAAATTAGCCAGGCGTGGTGGCGTGGAACCTGTAGTTCCAGCTACTTGGGAGGCTGAGGCAGGAGAATCACTTGAACCTGGGAGGCGGAGGTTGCAGTGAGCCAAGATCATGCCCCTACATTGGTGACAGAGCAAGACTCCATCTCAAAAAACAAAACAAAACAAAACATAACACCATATTCTTAATGACTAATTCTTAAAGACTTCAAAAGTTTTATAACACATATTTCATTTTGATGACAAATGCTAGTAAAGATGTTTGTCAAAATGGTTACAGTGAGCTAATAAATTAGCATTATGTAAATTTTGGAAATATAATCGATATAACTTATAGTAAAAAATTGTTTATCAGGAAGCTTAGACACAGGAAAGATTCATAACAATGGAATTCTTCTACAATAATTTTTATAAATTACACCTCTTTAATACCCGAGGAATGGTGTACCTTATCTACTATAGGTGGTACCACTAGGCCGTGGCACCCCAATTTACAAGACACAGGCACTTTGGGGTACTGGTAAGAGACAGTAATTATGACAACATGACTGTCTTTCTGGGAACTCATGAGTTTTGACTGTTCTTGACAGATTTTGTTTGGAAGGTAAAAATGGTCTTAAAGTACTGAATTGCAATTGTGTAAACTTATGCATCCACTTTTTAATTAAAATAAATGTAAAGGAAAACTAAAAATATGCATAAATATTGCAGATGTTGCAACTGATCAAATCCTATTTTATTGTCATGTCCTTTGGAGTTCAGATCTATGAATTGTGGACATACTGTTAATGTTAAATAGGTTAGATTCCAGACATCATAGGTCAATAATTGTCTAATTGCTAAAATGTGTTGCCCATCCGTAATACACGGATAAGGAAAAGGGAAGGGAAAGGAGAGAAGTTGGACATCTTTAAAAGCCTTCCTATTCATCAACTCATGAACATGACACACATATTCAAAAACAATAAGGACATGGTTTAAAATGAGATACTTTATAAAGAGCTACATACTTTTGATGAGAACAAATATGAAATCAACTTCTAATGGCTGACCTTTCTTTAAATGTGGGTACTCTTTTCTTTAAATGTAGGAGGAGTCACTTGCAGACCTTCATGGAACAGTTGCCTTTAAGGATTTCATTCTAAGCAGGGGCTACCAGAGGCCACGTGTGAGTAAAGGGCCATTTCAGAAGGCCATGTTGAGGGGCTCTGTGGCTCACAGTTGTTGATGGGACGAGGTTATGACCCTGACAAAACCCAAATACTTCTCTGATAGGCACATACCAAGACAGGCCCCTGGAAGAAAGGGCATGCTTTTCCCCAGATGGGGACTCAGAGATAGGATATGGCATTTTCTCCTTATTATTTCTGCCTATTTGGTTTCCGCTATTGTCAGAGATGCTATTTCCTTGCCGATCTTTGACTCGTTTTTCTTGGGTTTGCCCTCAGTAAGAGGTCTATGTACGGGGCACGGGCCTTGCAAATTCCAACTGTTACTCAACACCCTGAATTCTCTAGGAAGTTTCAAGTCTCCTTTACATCCTCATCTAAGGACAAAGAGCTGTGTCTTGGGTTAGGACAAAATAGAGTTGGGATTTGCAATTTTATCATTGCACTATTAGCTGTGCTTCAGGTGGAAACAGGCTAAGGCAAACGTTCACTTCCTGGGAGGCCTAGCCAGTGTCTTCTGTCTTTATTCCTTTCTTCTTTTCTGCCTCCTGGTTTCCCCTCACTAACTTGTAAAGATGGTCCCAGCACCTCCACAAGATGCAGCTCCCTTTGGATGGTCACTTGTAACAGGGGTGGAGTGGGAAGTCGGCAGAAGGGAAAATGGAGCAGGAGGGCCTGCTGCCTGGAGCAGTGTGCCCAGATCAGCCTGTCGCTGCAGCAGGAGACAAAATAGGCATCTGGGGCTGAAGTGATAGCTGATAATGTCATGCATTTGTCCACTGTCCTCTGTGTGCACGTACCTTGGGGTCTTCAGGGGACAGTACAACTGAGATGGTCAGAAGTTCCTGGAAATGGGAGATTTGATTTCTGTTTTTCCAAGAGTGATAGAACTAAAAATAGCTAATACTGCTGGCAAATAAATGTAGGACCAAGCTCAGAATCAGCTGGTTTCAGAGTAAAATCAGACAAGTCTAGAACATGAAATGGAGATTTGAGATTAGGAAACTCCATTATATAACTGGTTTGGAGGAGCTCCCTTTAGCTTTGAATATCAATAATAGGCCTCCTAGATATATTTAATATACTTATACAAATAATGGCATAATCTGTATATAATGTTTACATAAGTATATTTATATATATATAATATAAAATATGCATATATAGCTTTAATATTACATGGTTGTGTGTTTACATGTCCATATTAGATATGTGAAGATGTACCTCTGTGGTATATGTGCGTGTATGTATAAATCCTTATTTGCTCTTGATATTATTGTGACTCATTTTTGTATCTTAACATTTTTAGTGGCAAACACACTTTTTTTTTCCGTTTTGATGTGTCCCCTATTGATTTAATCCATGCTATTACTGAACATTTAGTTCAGTTCTGGGCAAAAGGAAGCATGCCTGACACACTGGCTGCCCTCTTCTCAGTCACATGACTAGAGAGACGATGCCTCTGATCACAACCGAGTCCTCTGAGAACACCTGTCAGTCAACACCCTGCAATATTTTGTCCCTTTATTCTTACATCCTGCTTCTTATTTTATCAATAAGATTTCAACTGAATGAGAGAAGGGACTCTATCTCGGGGAATAAGATATATATGCATTACACACAGAGTGTATAAATATATTTGTGTGTGTGTATGCACAGTCATTACTTAAATATATATGTGAACATTCATTCTTTTTTTAACCTCCTATGTATATATACATTCACATGTATTATGTGAACATATGCACTTACCTACATTCCAGGATCTGCTGCTGGAATATCTCTATGATGCATCACCCACAACCTCATTCCCTCTGCTGCACAGATGGTTCCCAAGCCTTAGCAGCAGGGATGGGCAGCACAAGGCTATGTTGAGCTGGGCTGGGCCAGGCTTGGGCACAGAACAAGTCTGTATTCCATCTGAGTGTTTCTGATACTGTGTGACTACCTTCCAAAGACCAACATCTATCATGGTCAGATTATTAACATGTGATTTTGTGTGGTGAAAGGATATATATCAGAGTGTGAAATTTTGAGTTGGGTATGGTAGTGGCTATGGGGGAGGACTGTACTGTACCACTTTTGTTTGTCAATCTAATGAAGGTTCTCTCATTTTTTTTTTAGTTCCTTGAGAATATGTATATAGGGAAGGAATGTAAACGTGCATGTAATAAGTCTCCTATAAAATGAACTCAAGCATAGAAGAATCATAGGAGAATGATTAAGCATATTTTATTACTACATACTTGGCTATTTCTCTGTCTCCTTTTAAAGATTAAACAAAATTTGTGATGAGCGTCCCACTGTGGATGTTCAACTTTGACTTGGCAACATCTATTAATGGAATAACTGATGCTTATACATGTTTCTCAATGGATTTCTGCTTCAGTTAATCAACACTTTGTATACTTTATCATCCATGAGATCAATAGTCACATGTAATCTCACATTTTTGTAGAGCTATCAATATTATATAGTCATATCAACTATTTGTAAAAATAAATAAAACCATAAATAAAAACAGAATTACTCTATTACCTTTTCTCAGGCTTTCCCTTTGGTATTGAGTGAGTACCTCCTTTCCTCTTCCTTTACAATATGATTTTCTTTCATTTTGAATTAAACTTACTGAGATGTTTTTTCCTTTTGTTGGCATTGCCATGAGTGGATATGGTTTGTTTGGCCCCTCTAAATCTTATGTTGCTGTTTGATCCCCAGTGTTGGAGTTGGGGAGTGGTCTGAGGTGTTTGCGTCATGGGGTGGATCCCTCCTGAATGCCTTGGTGCTATTCTCACAGGAGCGAGTGAGTTCTCCCTCCTAGTTCCAGTGAGAATGGGTTATTGTAAAGCACCTGGCTCCTTCTCTTTCTTGCTTGGTCTCTCATCATGTGACGTCTGCACATGCTAACTCCCCTTTGACTTTTGCCACGAGTGGAAGAATCCTGAAGCTCTCACCCCTCACCAGGAGCAGATGCTGGCACCATGCTTCTTGTATACCCTGTAGAGCTCTGAGCCAAATAAATTTCTTTTCTTTACAAATTACCCAGCCTTAGGTATTCCTCTTTGGCGACACAAATGGACTAAGACAGGCATGTTAGCGTTGATAATAATTGTGTATCTATAATATAAGGTCATAGGTCAGAAAGTTTAATGAAAACTCAAGATGACATGTGTTTTAATTACCTTTTAAAATTATATTTTATTTTAAAATGCTAATGCTGTCTGTGTATGACCACTCACTCCTATAATCCCAGTGCTTTGGGAGGCCAAGGCAGGAGGATGGCTTGAATCCAGGAGTTCAAGGCTGCAGTGAGCTAGAATCAGGCCAGTTGCCCTTCAGCCTAGGTGACAGAGTGAGATCTTGTGTCTGAAAAAAAGTTAATGCTCATATTAGAAAAATCAGAAAACATAGACTAGCAAAAAGAACATAGAAAACACTAATTCTTCCTTTAGGGTCCGTAATAACTGCTCTTCACTTATTGGAATGTATCCTAGATTTTTTTCTATGAAACACACTTGGAATAATTTAATCAAAAAATGATTTATTAAAAGGAAAATTATTTATTAAAAAGATACTCTATTCACAGAATATCTATTTTAAAATTATTTTACTTTAAGTTCTGGGATACATATGCAGAATGTGCAGGATTGTTACATATACATATGCCATGGTGGCTTGCTGCACCTATGAACCTGTCATCTAGGTTTCAAGCCCTGCATGCATTAGATATTTGTCCTAATGCCCTCCCTACCCTTGTCCCCCACCCCACTGGAAAGCCCTGGTGTGTGATGTTCCCCTCCCTGTGTCCATGTGTTCTCATTGTTCAACTCCCACTTATGAGTGAGAACATGTGGTCTTTGGCTTTCTATTCTTGTGTTAGTTTGCTGAAAATGGTGATTTCCAGCTTCATCCATGTCCCTGCAAAGGATGTGAACTCATTCCTTTTTATGGTTGTGTAGTATTCCATGGTGTATATGTGCCACATTTTCTTTATCCAGTCTATCATTGATGGGCATTTGGGTTGGTTCCAAGTCTTTGCTATTGTGCATAGTGCTTCAATAAACATATATGTGCATGCGTGTTTGTAGTAGAATGATTTATAATCCTTTGGGTGTGCCCAGTAATGGGATTGCTGGGTCAAATGATATTTCTGATTTTATATCCTTAAGGAATTGCCACACTGTCTTCCACAATGATTGAACTAATTTACACTCCCACCAACAGTGTAAAATTGTTCCTACTTCTCTGCATCCTCCCCAGGATCCAGTGTTTCCAGACTTTTTAATGATCGCCATTCTAACTGGTGTGAGATGATATCCCATTGTGGCTTTGATTTGCATTTCTCTAGTGACCAGTGATGATGAGCTTTTTTTCATGTGTTTGTTGGCTGCATAAATGTCTTCTTTTGAGAAGTCTCTGTTTATATCTTTTGTCCACTTTTTGTTGGAGTTATTTGTTTGCTTATTTGTTTTTGTAAATTTGTTTAAGTTCTTTGTAGATTCGGGATGTTAGCCCTTTGTCAAATGGATAGATTGCAAAAATTTTCTCCCATTCTGTAGGTTGCCTGTTCACTCTGTTGACAGTTTCCTTTGCTGAGCAGAAGCTCTTTAATTAGATTCCGTTTAACAATTTTGGCTTCTGTTGCCATTGCTTTTGGTGTTTTAGTTATGAGGCCTTTGCCCATGCCTATGTCCTGAATGGTATTGCCTAGATTTTCTTCTAGAGATTTTATGGTTTTAGATTTTACCTTTATTAATCCATCTTGAGTTAATTTTTATATAAGTTATAAGGAAGAAGTCCAGTTTCTGTTTCCTGCATATGGCTAGCCATTTTCCCAGAACTGTTTATTAAATAGAGAATCCTTCCCCATTGCTTGTTTTTGTCAGGTTTACTGTAGATCTGATGGTTGTTAGATGTGTGGTGTTATTTCTGAGGCCTCTGTTCTATTCCATTGGTCTATTCCATTTGTTTTGGCACCAGTACCATGCTGTTTTCCTTACTGTAGCCTTGTAGTATAGTTTGAAGTCAGGTTGCCTGATGCCTCCAGCTTTGTTCTTTTTGCTTAGGATTGTCTTGGATATGTGGGCTCTTTTTTGGTTCCATATAAAATTTAAAGGAGATGTTTCCAGTCCTGTGAAGAAAGTCAATGGTAGCTTGATGGGAATAGCATTGAATCTATGAATTACTTTGGGCAGTGTGGCCATTTTCATGATATTGATTCTTCCTAACCATAAGCATAGAATGTTTTGCCATTTGTTTGTGTCCTCTCTTATTTCCTTGAGCAGTGGTTTGTAGTTCTCCTTGAAAAGTTCTCCTTCACATCCCTTGTAAGTTGATTCCTAGGTATTTATTCTCTTTGTAGCGATTGTGAATGGGAATTCATTCATGAGTTGGCTCTCTGCTTGTCTATTATTAGTGTATAGGAATGCTTGTATCCTGAGACTTTGCTGAAGTTAAGGAGATTTGGGGCTGAGATGATGGGGTTTTCTAAATGTACAATCATGTCATCTGCAAACAGAGACAATTTGCCTTCCTTTCTTCCTATTTGAATACCTTTATTTTTTTCTCTTGCCTGATTGCCCTGGCCAGAACTTTCAATACTATGCTGAATAGGAGTGGTGAGAGAGGGCATCCTTGTCTTGTGCCGGTTTTCAAAGGGAATGCTTCCAGCTTTTGCCCATTCAGTATGATATTGGCTATGGGTTTGTCATAAATAGCTCTTATTATTTTGAGATATGTTCCATTAGTACCTGGTTTGTTAAGAGCTTTTAGCATGAAAGAGTGTTGAATTTTATCAAAGGCTTTTTCTACACCTATTGGGATAATCATGTGGCTTTTGTCATTGGTTCTGTTTATGTGATGGATTACATTTATTGATTTGCATATGTTGAAACAGCCTTGCATCCCAGGGATGAAGCTGACTTGATCATGGTGGATACGATTTTTGATGTACTGCTGGATTTGGTTTGCCAGTATTTTATTGAGGATTTTCACATTGATGTTCATTAGAGAGATTTGCCTGAAATTTTCTTTTCTTGTGTCTCTGCCAGGTTTTGGAATCAGGATGATGCTGGCCCCATAAAATGTGTTAGGGAGGAGTCCCTCTTTTTCTATTGTTTGGAATAGTTTCAGAAGGAATGGTACCAGTTTCTGGTAGAATTCAGCTGTGAATCCATCAGATCCTGGGCTTTTCTTGGTTGGTAGACTGTTAATTACTGCCTCAATTTTAGAACTTGTTATTGGTCTATTCAGGGATTTGACTTCTTTCTGGTTTAGTCTTTGGAGGATGTATGTGTCTGGGAATTTATCCATTTCTTCTAGATTTTCTAGTTTATTTGTGTAGAGGTGTTTGTAGTATTCTCTGATGGTAGATTGTATTTCTGTGGAATAACTGGTGATATCCCCTTGATCATTTTTTATTGTGTCTATTTGATTTTTATCTCTTTTCTTCTTTACTAGTCTGGCTAGTGGTCTATTTGTTAATCTTTTAAAAAAACTGACACCTGGATTCATTGATTTTTTTGAAGGGTTTTTCGTGTCTCTATCTCCTTCAGTTCTGCTCTGATCTTAGTTATTTCTCGTCTTCTACTAGCTTTTGAATTTGTTTTCTCTTGCTTCTCTAGTTCTTTTCATTGTGATGTTAGGGTGTTAATTTTAGATCTTTTCCATTTTCTGATATGGTCATTTAGTGCTATAAGTTTCCCTCTGAACACCGCTTTAAATGTGTCCCAGAGATTCTAGTACGTGGTATCTTTGTTCTCATTGTTTTCAAAGAATTTCATTGTTTCTGCCTTAATTTTATTATTCATCTAGTAGTCATTCAGGAGCAGGTTGTTCAGTTTCCATGTAGTTGTGTGATTTTGAGTGAGTTTCTTAATACTCAGTTCTAATTTGATTGCCCTGTGGTCTGAGAGGCTGTTTGTTATGATTTCTGTTCTTTTGCATTTGCTGCGGAGTGTTTTACTTCCAATTATGTGGTCAATTTTAGAATCAGTGCAATGTGGTATTGAGAAGAATGTATATTCTGTTGATTTGGGGTGGGAAGTTCTGTAGATAGTTATTAGGTCTGTTTGGTCCAGAGCTGAGTTCACATCCTGAATATCCTTGTTAATTTTCTGTCTTGTTGATCTAATATTGACAGATAATAGTCAATATTAGACTTTAACACCCCACACAATAATAGTGGTGTGTTAAAGTCTCCC